AAAAAAAAAAAAAAAAGAAAAAAGAGAGAGGGTCACACAGCTGGAATTTGAACCTGTGTTCTTAACCACAACACTGGGTGGCTATTTGACCCCACTGGCTCACAATATTACTTCTAGGGATGGATCTTACGGGCACCTTCACGCCTGTGCACAGACTTAAACACACAGAAGTCACCTGGCACCCTGCCCTTAAACTCCAGACATGGGACAAAAACCTCAGTGGGCGACTTATTGTTCTCCACATGGAAGAGTAAAACGGCTGACACTTGGAGAGCGCGTATGCTGTGCCAGGGGCTGTTCCAAGCACTTTACATTACTCAGTTTATCCCCCTGAGAGCCCTGGGAGGTGAACTCTCCCCTTATCCCCATTTTTCAGATGAGGAAAACTGAGGTACAGGCAGGTAGGAGGAGTTTGGTCAGACCCAGTGAAGAAGGGAAGCCAAGTTTTTCCTTCTGTTTTTTTGTTTTGTTTTGTTTTTTGAGTGGGGGAGTCTCACTCTGTTACCCAGGCTGGAGTGCAGTGGCCTCGACCACTGGCCACTGCCTCGACCTCCTGGGCTCAGGCGATCCTCCTGCCTCAGCCTCCTAAACAGCTGGGCCGACAGGCATGCGCCACCATGCCTGGCTAATTTTTGTATTTTTATTTTTGTAGAGACGAGGTCTCACTATTTTGCCCAGGGTGGTCTCAAACTCCTGGGCTCAAGCGGTCCTCTTGCCTCAGCCTCCCAAAGAGCTGGGATTGCAGGCGTGAGTTGTTGAACCCCACCTAAAGCCAGGATTTGAACCCAGGCAGTCTGAAGGCAGACATTTGTTTAACAGACATCCCCTACCACATTAACAAGAGGCTGGACACAGCGTGACACAGCAGGGCCTGTTCAGTCGTATATGCTCAAAAAGAGCCTGGTGGCTCCTGCAGATAACACAATGGGTGTGGGCGGACTGCTGCCAAGTGAGTGGGCAGAGAGAAGTGGCATATAGTGGCATATATATTGTGTGTCCTGCTGTTTGTACAGAAAAGGTGGACCCACATATATGCGGGGGACCCGAAAAACCCTGGAATTATATCTTGGAAGGCAGGCCCGTTGTAAGTACAGGCTTCCCCTGCTAGGCAAGTGCTCTAGGAAGCCATTGGCATCTGTGTACCAGCTAGCATTTTTGTGAGAGGCTGTTTGGTTTCAGTGAATTTTTTTGGGGGGGAGGGAGACTTTCCACACGTTTGCCCATTTCATGGAGGGTGATTTACACAAACAACCTGCCCACACTGCACTGAGTGTTCAGCAGTTTTTGACCAAAAATGGCCTGACCCCTATGCCCTACCCTCCCTGTTCATGCCATTTCACACCGAGTAAATTTTTTTTGTTTCCCTGGATGAAAAAAATCTTTTAAAGGAAAACGTTTTGCCGATGTGGAAATGGGGAAACGAAAAACAGCAGGAGCGCTAAAAGGCATCAAAATGGATGAGCTCAAAAACTGTTTTGAGCAGTGGAAAAAGCTCGAACGGAGAGTACTTGGAAGGTGACCAGAGTGTAAACATATAAGAATAAATACACAATTTTTAATAAGTAAATTCCGGGTTTTTTGGGTCCCCCTCATATATGTCTGTCAGAAACTGCCCCAGGACAGCTTGGGGCTGTGGGTCAGGTGGGAGCGAGCCTTGAGGCCAAGTTTGCAGCACAAGCTCAGTTGTTCATGGGCGGGTAGGGAGGAGGCTGAAGGCGCCTACCAGAGAGTCAAAGCCACCGTTCTTCCAGTCACAGGTCAAGTCTCAGTGAGACCTGCTGGGGCAACAATTAGCATTTAAAGTAGAAGAAATCTGGCCAGCTCGGTGGCTCAGCCTGTATTCCCGCGCCTTTGGGAGGCTGAGGTGAGCGGATCGCCTGAGCCCGCGGGTTCGAGACCCGCCTGGGCAGTGAGACCTCATCTCTACAAT